AATATGGTAAAGGTCCTACTGAATCCGGATGAACATGGCCAGAACGAGCATCGGGAGTTTCGAATGAGCCCAAGGGACACTTATTGTGTCTAATCACCTTAGATTTCTGGCAGCTTACACAGGAGCATACCGACTCCCTCACGTTTCTGTGCATACCAGGCCAGAGAAACCGTTCTGCTATGAGCTTGATGGTTGCAAGAATACCTGGATGAGAAATTTTGTACAACGTACTGAAGACGTCTCGTCTATAATGTTTCGGAACGATTGGAAGTTTCACATAGTAAGGTTTCCCTACGTGTTCCCATCTGTTTGATGCACAGTTTAAGGGTTGTTGACGATAATCCGTGCTAAAATCAGTAATTTTTGAAGCTGTGCGGGTTGAAGAAAGTCGATTCCTTGGAAACTGTTCAAGGAAGTTAGCTGAGACAGGGCGTTTGCAACTACATTGTTATCTCTAGAAGTGTGTTGAATGTCTGAAGTAAACTGCAAAATGAAGTTCAACTGTCGAGACTCTCTCGAGGTGAGCACATGTCTGAAGATGAGCTTAAAGAGAAGGTTAGTGGTTTATGATCAGTAAAAAGGATGAATTCGCGGCCTGCGATAGAGTTTTGAAAATGCCGTACAGCACAATACAAAACTAGGAGTTCCTTACCGAAAGTGCTATACTTCGATTCAGTGTCTAACAGCCGTCTCGAGAAGAATGTCAAAGGTCATCAGGAGTGGTTAACCCATTGTTGTGAGGCCCCTCCGGTTGTCGGATGCGTCTACTGCGATACTAGTAGGTGCTTTAGTGCCCTGATGTGCAGGCAATGTTTCTTGAGTGATAAGTACCTCAATTGTGGAGAATGCTTTTCGCGTGGTGTCGTCCAGATTGATGGATTTCGCATTTCCACGAAGTTGGTCGGTTAACCGTTTCATAAGTGACGCGCAGTTTGGTATGAACCATCTATAGAAGCTTACAAGGCCGTTAAATGTGCATAACTGCCTAATGGTGGTCGGTCCTGGATAATCCAGAATGGCCACCACTTTGGTTCTGAGGGGTTGAATGCCTTGCGCATCTATAGTGTTTCCTAGGAAGTCTAATGAGTCAGTTTCGATTTGGCATTTCTGAATGTTTACAGTAATGCCATGTTTTTGTAGTCCATCGAATACAAGATCCAGATACTGGAAATGCGATTCTTTGTCCAGACTTGCTATGAGACAGTCATTGACATTTAATAGCTCAGGTTGGTTGGTTAAGAGTTGACCCCAAACAACCAAGCATATGCCAAAACAGTATTGTTCAAGTATTCATTCGCTTCCTTATTTTTTATAAGCGTTATATTCCCTATTATCTTATATTGAATGTTGAGAGCCTTTGTTTGTCTGAACAGTTAATCCCTCACTCCACTGTGACTGCGCGAAGATCGAAATAAAGACCTATTCACTACCTCCCTGGTTTCTTCTATCAATAGCACGAGGGTTACCTTAAGGCACGAAAGACATACGTATGTACGAAGTTGAGACCTCGAAAAACGTCATCTACGAACCTTTGGAAAGTTTGTGCATCGTTTCTTAGACCGGAAGGCATTCGCAAAAATTCGTAGAGTCCGAAGGGAGTTATGAAAGCCATTTTTGAAATATCGTCAATAGCCATAGGGAATTGGTTATACGCTTTAACCAAATCGATTTTCGAAAAGATAGTTGTACCTTTGAAGGTAGCCGTCAAATCGTGAATGTGAGGCAACGGGTAACGATCGGGAACGGTTTTCGCATTCAATCGCCGATATTCACCAGTTGGACGCCAGTTGTTGCTGCCGTTTTTAGGGACGATGTGCAAGGGAGATGCTCATTGACTGTTTGGCGGCCGAATGATTCTTAAATTTATCATATGATCGAATTCGTTCTTAACCAACCTCAGCTTTTCGGGAGCCGGTCGTTGCGCTTTTGAGAATACAGGTGGTCCTGTAGTCGTGATGTGATGTGCAACATTTCTAGTTAAACACGGCAATTTCGCTTGCTTTTGGCGTGTCCCAGAGTACTTATCTAGTAATTTTGGATAGAATGGATCTATCGTGTGCCTAACTGTGACTGGAGATAATCTGCAACCGCGAAAATGTTACACAAGCTGGTAAATTAGTGTTTCCATCTACTAGCCTCCGTTTGCGAGTATCGATGAGTAGACTGTAGTGTTGTAACATCCCTATACCAATGATTGACATTCGAACATCTGCATCAACGAAAATCCAGTGGATGGGTTTGCGTAAACACACGTTAAAACAAACTTACATATGGCGATAGGCTTTCCGTTTGCCACTCGTAAGTTTAAAACTGATTCGTGAGGCCGGTCGTTAGAAATTTCTGGAAGAACCAGTGTCGACGTGGTAGCGAACTTTCATTATAACATCTGTGACTTATAACAGACGTCTATGTTCGCCGGCTACGATTGTCGTTAACACGTGCCGGCTGAAGAGTTTCCCGAATTCTTTTTCGTATCGTTCGGTTTTGAGTTTGGAAAATTGCAGGTTTTTCTGTAATTTCTAGATTTCTCAAACTGGTTATGGTATCATTACCATTCGGAGTTACCCGTCTCTCGCACTTTAGAGACAGATCGCTTACGTGAAGTGCTTCTTCATGGGGAATGTGACCGTTTATGGCCATCACAAAATCGAAGATAACGGGTCTGCGTATGACATAGTTTTGTAATGTCATTCTGTGTCGCTTGAAGCTTTCCTTTGACTGAAAAATTCTTGACGTTAGAAGACTTGATGATTCATAAGATGCGGTCAGCAGATACAGCCAGCTCGTCTATGGCGTTATTTTAAAGCGAGACTAAACAAGAAAACAAGAAAATTTGCCTGAATAGGCCATCATCGAAAGTTCATTGGTTAATCACCTCGCTCATTCTTAACATCATGTCTGTCGCTGAACCGTGTCGTAAATCGATATTATCAGGAATTTGGCCCAACCTTTTTGATCGGTTAGATCTCCGCGTTTAAGAGCTTCGTAAGGTGCTGAAACATCACCAGCAAACATACTAAGCGTGACGTACCTGTTAAATTCGTGTAGGAATCAATTCCTTACAGGTGTAATTCCAAGCTATTCTCAAGACTGTCGAACACAGAGTTTTTATTTGTTCAAGGTAAAACAAATAAGCTATTTGGCTTGATAAACTATATGTTTCTAAAACATAAACTAACACCGTTAGTATAAAAGATAAGCAGTACAGTCTAATAAGCAGGAAAAAGGAGAGACATAAATAACGTACCGAACAGTAACTAGAGGGTAGGAATAATGGGTCGACAAGGCGAATATTGTTTTATAGTGAACATAAAATTATGATTGGTGAATAAACAAGACATAGTCATACAAGGTCAAAGAAGGTTAATGTGGTGGTGTGCGCTGCACTTTAGCATTGGTGAGTTTGTTTATCGATCACACTTCACATTCGCGCGTTGGTGTCTTTACTACTGTGAGGAATTGTGCACACGTGTCGTTCACGCCGTGCTTGTAGAAGTTTATCCCTGCGTAGCAGAACCAGATTTCGATGTTGTCTGGTTAAAATGACATTAGTTGAAATGAAGATGGATCCATGGTCTTTAACTTAAGTACCTTAGGTGTCTGTTCCGTCATGGCAAATATGAAAAACAGGAATGAACGAGGAAAAAATATTACAATATATAAAACTTAGAATAAAGCAATGATATATGAACTTATAGCAGTTCATGTACAATTGAGTTTGTTCTCATTTAATTCGGGTAAGCCTTTTTATTAACTTATTTATCGGACAGAGTCATCCGTACTATAAAAACTTATTGTACCTTTATTATTGTTGCACTTGTATGAACTATGTATGCTTGAAAATTGCTTACCGCCTACGCATATATTCATTCTGCTAGCTTTATTATTAGCTGCTTAAGTGATTTGATGATTCATCCATTTCCTTATATATATATATATATATATATATATATACATGTACATTTAAACCCACACACTACTCTACTCTTTCGATCCTCTGAATCACTCAGTTGCCGCTCTGCTTTGTAGTCTGAGTTATCTGCTAATAAAACTGTAGTCGCTGCTTCTCTTTGCTTTCTGATTTCAAACGCCGTTGAGGACTATATGATAACGGTTACGAGGGTGATTGGTCAACGAACCACAGCCACTACAAACTTCCAAAAGGGAACAAACTCATAGTTTGCAAGTTTGTGTACCAGATCACATCGGGCTCATCAGTGAAGATGCCACAGGTATTTGGCGTTTGACGATGCTTTAACCAGTAGTACCTTCTACTATGAATCGTACCCATCAAGTGAAATCAAAAGTCAAAAGCGAGGAGGTTCGAAGATATATTTGATAGGCTATCAGTATATTGGGAATCGACTGATCTAGACTGGCTAGCGATTGCAAGGGACGTCGAGCACGGCGTTCCCACACGTGATCTGGTGCGTATGCATGACCGAGCGCCTTCAGCTAAGTGAGTCCGTTAAAACTGATGTAGTCAGCATCCAACGTCGAAAACTTACAGAGCTATTGATTTTGGGGATTTATTTAACGCTACATCGTCAAAGGCTCAGGAATCTTGTGGGGTATTCATATGCGTTTTCGGTACTTGGATGGAGAAGTGTTTAGGGTATTAAACCCGAGTATCGTGAGGCCGCATTCGGAATATGGGATTCAAGTCCTTGTTTCGGGTACGAGGTGGATATACTAGACCAAAATGGTAAAACGGGCAACCCTAGGAGGACAAACCGAGACCTTCCATCTTATTTTTGTTATCTCACCACATATTACGGGGTGATCTAATATTGGCTTACCGTATACTGAACAATGACCTTGGTATTAATGTCTTGTCTTTTCCTCTTATTAAGGACTGATCATCTGAGAAATCATTTTAAGGAAGTTTAAAAATTGAGATCCAATTGTTTACTTCTGAGGCTCCGTTTATCGCATCGAGCAGTGAATTACTAGAATTCCCAACCAGAACACATAATATCAACACTTTCTGTTGGCACATTCAAAAAGGAAGCGGGACGTTAGTTGGTGCTTCGCTACTTTTGGGCATGGTGGTTTTCGTGTGTTCTCAGTGCAACGCCACATTAAAAAAGAGCAATGTACGGAATCATCTACAATTTTCTCGACGTTGTTCCTTGGTTTCGTGTGTAGACTGTCACAAAGACTTTGAGTAGGCTGCGTATATTTTTCATTCATTTAAAGTAAATTTTCGGTGGAATCTCACTGTTCATGTATTTCTGAGAAAGAGAAGTATGACAAAGCAAACTACTTGAAGTCATCCAAGAGCAACAATATTAGTAAACAAGCGGAGTGGGTCAAGAGAATAGAAGATGCAATACAAAATTGTGAGTCACAACGACACAAGTCTATTCTTCAAAACATCCGGGGGAATTGCAATGTACCTCAAAAAAAGAAAAAGTTCGAGGTAGTTTCACTTTTTTTCTTATTGTAAGTAGAATTTCATGAGGTCCAAGTATCGTAAAATACCCGAGGAGACCATTGAAGATATATGGAAATTATTGGAGCCTCTTAAACGGGGGACATTTAGTACTGTTCCATCAAAACCTCAAAAAGATTTGTCAAGTAATCTAACAAATGATGAGCCGACGATAAAGAAACGAAAACTGGAAGACACTTCTAAAACTCTCAATAACTATTCATCAGAGAACGAGTGTCACTTGCTGTCAGTTCATCATATACAAAATGTTCTAGCTGAATTAGGTGGGAAAGCACCTTTCTCAAGTTTGAGAAGACAGGTACATTTTCACAACTTGTCTGTTGATTACTAGTTGAACACTTAGTCTCATAACGCTTAACGTAGTGGTTCCCGAGTTGATTATAAAATCCTAAACAAATTATAGTATAAAATCTTCAACTTAGCAGGCCAATTTCATGGCGAAAGGTTGTTGACTGCTCAAGAAGCAGTCGAGATCGATTTGGTTTGCCGAATGTTTTTCTGTTTTCTAAGACCTGATTGAATTTTGGTCCAAAAGGACGAAAAAAGTCTCCTTGTTTATATCATAAGTACTTTGGTAATTATTTCTAAATTTAATTTGTTGACTAATCCTCTGTATATTGAGATCAGTTCTAATAAGCGTAAGTACAGTTTTTTAAAGTAAGGACTAATAAATTATCCAAACTATTTAGGGCCTAGTACGTTTATTTCAAAATTAAGACTAATATTAGAGATGAACTCGAATGTATATCTGTTTGTTAGTTGAACACTAAGCTACAAACAGTAGTTATTGCTAGCAGCTATATTAACAATCATTGAAGAGTGATACTAACATGTACTTGATTTAGTTACAGCAACTAAGTTTACCCTATACGCAGTCATTGCATTAGGAAGAAACTAATATATATATATATATATATATATATATATATATATATATATATATATATATATATATACTAGGTGAATATTTAAGTTAAATTCTTATGATTATGTTGTAAAGTATTCTTTACGATAGTCTTGCTGATTATTCTGATAGTTTATCAGTGGTGAGCTTTCTAAAGGCAGACAAGTCTCGGCTGAATAATAGCTGTAGTAAAATGTTAACCCTAAGTAATGGTTAGTTTGCGGGACCCTAATTGGTTATATACTGCCATTTTGGGTAACAAACTGATTATCTAAAGTTTCAGAGATCAATAATCGAGGGGCATGAAAAGATTAGAACTTCCTTGTAACTTTATCCTTAGCGTTTATTGCACTTCATGTCCTTACCTTCATACCCCTTAATTACGTCTATTAATTCTACAGAATCACTGGTTCTTTCACTCATGAGCCTTTTTAGCGTTTTCACACAAAAGTTGTTTTAACGTTTCGAATCTTATTTTTGTTTATGTGTAGTGAGGACCTGCAGGTGATGTCTACAGGTCATTTTCTTTACTAGGTGGGAAAACATTTGGAGATGTAAGAAAAAGTAGACCAAATCCTGTTCGAGATGTTTTGGGGTGTTGCCAGTTATCTGATGTTTAATTCTTGGCAGGACTACTTCCTCTTGAGTGGACTGTAAGAGAAAATGGATTGATTGTAAAGATCTGATCGATATGGAAACGTCAAGATTATTACTCTTAAGTTATACTTACTATCCTTATTTCTATTTAGTCTCGTCGTAGACATACCGCTTACAAATTGCATCCAATTTTTCGGAGATTGCTCTCTGTCCTGGGAGCTCAATTTTAGAAATGGAGTAGACGCTGATGAATTAGTGTCTCGTTCCTGGCTTCAGCATAAGATGCTCGAAAAATGCGATGGATCGTTTGATAAGCCTGTTACTATCAATTAGTGGTGATTAGAACATGTATTACATAGCCCTTATTACCACCTGCCTCAAAGCGTGGTACCGAATTGGGAGATAGCTAATAAAGGTCAAACCAAGATGCGAGGTCAGTTCATGGAATTATTGTTGAATTGAGGCGTGCTTGGAGAAGCAAACTACCCGTTTGCTTACTTTCCACCTAGTTAGTTCTTAACTGTCCTTTGCTGCTACCTTGACGTGGTGGTCGGGCTTACCTATCGTAATGAACCAATGGAGCTATATTGGCTTGAGCAATCGTTCCTAAGGGTTCTGCCATGTCAGATGGGTCGGTTGAAGAGCTGTAAGACTAAAAGCAGCAAACCTAAGGTTCGAGGGTGAATTCGTACTGCTGACTGTACAGAGGTGTGACGGCAGTAAGGTGTTTCCTTCAGACAACAGGCGTAACAGCGATGCTGCCTTCCCACAAGGATGGGTGGGGTTAGAGAGGGTTCACCCTAGAAATGCACATCACACCTTATTGCACGGATTCCCGTCTCCAGCGGTAATGTCTCAACAATCAAGAAGCTAACACGGAAACTACTTACAAAAAGGTCGTGTGTGACCGACCTCAAACAGTTGTTCCCTGGACACTGTTCACAATTTCAGGTCACTAATACCACCCCGAACCCAGTTTCCTTTTCAGGTACCTTCAGAAGAGCCCTCTCACGGTGTGGACAACCGGTAAGTGATAACCGTCCTCATACCTGCAGCCAAGATCAGTGTATTCATAGTCAATCTCCCTCTTCAGTTCCTATTATTCTTCCTACGTTAGCTTTCAACTATAAACATCCTCTTTTGGCTTCTTCAGGTGTCACCATGACCAATGATTGTAGTGCGCGAAACACTACCCCAGGTTTACTGAAACCTCGCTCCAAACTACACATTGGAGCCTTCAACGTACGCACCCTGTGTCAAATCGGCCAGCAGGCATCCTTGGCTAAAACCGTAGAATCTCGTACCATCGATGTATTCTGTGTTTCTGAAACATGCATACAGGATCCTAGTGTTGCTCATTCACTTGACCTCACCTCTCCAAAGCAGAGAGCCGACAAGATACACCCTCCGTGTATGCACTATTCATCAGATGTTAGAACACAGATATGCTTATCGGCGTTCGACAATGATTGTTTTTTTCACGTGAAAGTAGCATTTGACTTTGTAGACCGAGAGGTCATGCGGCAGTGTCTGTCATTGAAAGGCGTACCTACGAAGTACATAAACCTTGTGAAGGCTCTTTACTCGAACATTACTAGTCCAGTCAGAGCTTATGGCGAACTGTCATCTGCTTTTGCAACCTCAAGTGGTGTCCGTCAAGGCTGTCCACTTTATCCATTTCTGTTTAGCTTCATCATAGACCTACTGATGGAAATAACGTTCTGGGGCGTTGATCTCCTACCAGGAGGTCCACTTATCGATTTAGAATACGCAGATGACATAGTCCTGTTTGGTGAAGACGCTGATAAAATGCCAAGTCTTTTCGTAGCACTAAGAAACAATGCTAGAATGTTTGGAGTGTGTTTCTTCGCCTCTAAATGCAAATTGTTGCTTCTGAACTGACCTGAGTCAACATCTGAACTAAGGATAGGGAGTGAAGTAGTGGAACGCGTTGACAACTTCCCTTATCTTAGAAGTCTGATTATCCCTAATTGGTTGGTGTCTGAAGAATTTCTGCACGGATTCGAAAAGTTTGTTTTACTTTTGCCAACTTACGTCACCTATGGCGAAGGTGAGATATCCATCTATCAATTGAGGGACGAGTATGCTTTGCAGCAGTTCGTTGTTCTAATTTACGACTGAGAAACGTGTCCATTAAAAGTAGAAGATACTCGTAAGTTGCTAGCATTTGATTGCAGATATCTTAGAAGTATTGCTCGCATCTGTTGGGATCACCAGGTAAGTAGTAGTGAGGTTAGATTCAGGGTATTGGGGAATGATGATAAATCGGTTGATGAGTTTGTTAATCTTCATTGACTCAGATGGTTGGGCCACGTGTTACGTATGACTGAAAACCGATTACCATAATGCTGACTAGTGTTGGAGACCGTTGGAAGAAAGTTAGAGGCGGCCAAACCGAAACATGACACTAGTGCTTGAAGTCACTAACTTCTAGTTCTAGCCATGTTAGTAGATGCAGACTACTTGTTTGGGGTCCGCATGACTATCTTAACCAATGATTGGGGACTCTGGGTGACATGGCTTAGGTGTATATACTCTTTGTCATCCCTTAAACCATGAGATTAAAATTAATTCATACCTTTTTACGAACTAATTCTTTCTTCCTGTATTATATCCTTATACTCAATCTTTCTTTTACATATTACTACGAATAAAGTAGCTAATTCTATTAATTTGGTGTTAATCTTGTTATGCTAATGAGGTGTGGCAACTTGGACCGATGCATATATGTGCCTGGTCCCACTTTGTATCTCACTGACTGAATACCCGTTTGTTGTATGTTCGCTAGCCATAATCAGTGATCAGTTGGTCACAATGACGCACATGCATTTACTGTTTCCCAGACCTCAAGCTGCTTCTCTAATCCATGCATACTTCTTCATTCTCTTTCGAACCATGTTCTCAATGTTTAGTCTTTCTTACTGTCAGTGCTACTCTGATTGTTTGAACTTCTTTTCTATTCCGTTGTGTTGATTTGATATGGCGCATTTGGCTAACTCATATTTGTGCCGCTCTTTAGATTGATTCTCGTTGATTATAAAAAGCTGCTTGAAACTGGTCACGTACGACCGTTTTATGAATAGTATTCTTGGATTTGTACTTCTCACGTTTTATCACCAGCAACCGGAAGTACAGGGTGCACGGTGGAGTACATTGTATTTATAATGCAACTTTCTTAATCGCATAATGAAATTTACTGGCTTTCTTTGGGAAATACCTTCATGCTGTCATGCTCCAGTGTAGTTCACGGTGCAACCTCACCCTTAGACGTCAGATTTGATGCTTTTGTCTTAATCACTCTAAAACCAAAGAACAATTGCTTCAGTTATTGGCTTGGTTTAAGTAATGTCAAATTAATTAAAATACAAAGTCAATAGAAGTTCCCAGTTTCATACTTGAACACAGTATAAAGGCAACTGTTTTCACGCCAGTTTGGAAAATATGTGCAATTTCTTGAAAATGTTCTCATCTTATGCCTTTTGTAAATCTTTTTTTGATGAGTATTAAATTTATATTTTTGTTCCCAGATTTACAGTACGTATAAAACCAGCGTACTTTCCCCACAGGAATGCATGACAAAAAAAGAGTTTAAAGCCAAATTGTTAGGTGTCATTCAAGACTCAGGGTACTTTATTTTTTCACCGTCTGATGCTATGATCAGCGTGGTTAGTGATGGTTTAGTCACTAGAACAGATCTCTGTAAGTAGTTAATCTTTTCTAATTGAATTTTAGGTGTAAATCCAGATCCAGATACTTCTATAATCACTTGTCAGAACGGTAAACCACATTATTCTGAAAGTATAAAAAAGTTACTAATCACCACAATAAACGATGCGGGAGGACAAATTTCTCTGAAGAAGCTTGTGAAAAGAGTAAGATAGTTCATTTTGGCTTGGCGTAGTCCAACGGTATTTTTGCTTATTAATGTGTTAAAAATAATCATTTTAGTATAGAATCTGATATAGACTTCCGTTATTTTTCTAGATCACTTAGAAAAATATTGCGATGTTATAGTCAAATCCTGAATGCTAATGTGTATATCGCTGGTAGATTTTTCATACTTGAGATATAGATTGTAACCTACTTTAAATTTTAATTGCTTGTTAGTACTTCGGAGAATATTTCAATACGAAGCAATATATGTTGTTTGAATCATCTAAAATTTGCAACTATCCCAATCAAGGGCGGTTAATATTTATACTTTGTTGTATGCACAGTCGTTCACTGCTTTGGGTAATTGTTTCAGTCACTGTGCTACTGGTCTCAGATAATATGATCTTGTTTTAATTGCATAATGTTGTTGGCCGTCGAAATTATACCCCAACTCAACCCAGTGACGTTATTGAGAAACAGGAAAATCAAAATCTTTACACCCCAAATATTGTGCTTCAGTTTTCAGTGCTTTACTTCACCAAGTATGTTTTTGTAACCCGTAGGTAAATAGGAACGTTAAAAACATAGAAGTAAGAATATTTCATAACGGCAGCGGCGAACTAATCTCGAAAATTTATCGATATGTGAAAAAACCTAGAATAAATATATCCAATACACTGTAGCCAATTATGAACTGTGTCACCTAAGGTAAAGCTCATGAGCATTATGCTTTTAGCATGTAGTAGCGTCCTTGTCATGAGTTTTCAACTCCATGCATACTTTTTTCAGTGGTTCGTTTATACACAAATACTTAATTGAAAGTACCACCACAGTTTGGTGTAGATTCTGTAAATTTATCCTCAAAAATATAATATTTTCCTCATTACTCTCAAAATGCAGTTGTTTTTGCAGCATAAAATTGATATCAATAACTTTATTGATTTGTATATAGGTCTCGTCACGTATTTTGAATCCAAATGATCAAAAGGAAGTTAGTCTTACGAAAGACGAAGTGGAGAGTAAAATTGTGAGAAAAGTCAATAAAAGTCAGTCTATGAAACTTTCAGATGACGGTAAACGGGTTGAACTTTGCTCATGAATTTGTGTATATATTTTCCATATAATAAAAGATATATTTATTCCAGCGTTTTATTTCATTGTGAATTAACAACTCCGAGACTGAATTTGTGTGGGAAGTGTTTATTATAGGCTAGTGGAAAACTTGTACATCATATTCCGTGTCATCACATCTTATTTGTAAATGTAGTCCTATAAAGCGTTTAAGATAAGTCTCTGGTGGGAACACTTTTGGTTTTTGTTATTGCACGTTCCAAACTGCAAACGTCACGTGAATAATTAATGTGCGAGAGATTTGATTTCTACTTAGTCACCTGCTTTTGTGGCTGGTATGGTGTTGGGCAGTAAAATAATATGGCGAAACTTTTCTTGGTTACCGTGGCACACCTTAAGGTTGTTTACCGCTTGTAGTCAACGGCACTGGTTAAGAGAAATGATTTATTTAAACAATCTTGTCAAGTTTACTTACGTTCTCTCTCCTTATCCTCTCCTCACCAGTTCTTTTTTGTACTTTTCATACTACTTATTAATATTCAGTAAATAGTTGTATCCCTAACAATTTCTACCTGTATGATGTAACGCAAGTTTGTCGTGTAATGTTCTGAAGTATTTACATATATTTATAACGTTTATTGTACTTATCATTATCATTACTTCCTCTCAATCCCCGTAGCAGTTATTCTCAATTTTGTATGGTCGTTGAATATTTGTTTATACATAACAGTTTCCATATTTGTTTGCTTTTGGTTCCATTTTTGCTTGTTGATAAACTGTTATCAAAATTAGACACAGCTATCAGCTGTCATTTACACTATCGTATGCCATATTTATTCTTTATGTTATCATTTTCAAGAGACCATTTTTCCTTCAAACTTATAGACGCGCTAAGCACTACCTCACTAGTTGAGGTTTGTAACTAAGTTATATTTATTCCTCAATAAAGGACCGCTTTTTAGATAAATGGCTGTTTTATGAACTATGGTTTCGCACGTATCTCAGTCGTGTAATTAGACGCTTCAATAGATTTGACAAACCTCATGTAGGTCTACTGCTCATTTGGAACAATTGTATTTGTTATTAAGTTTTGTTTATAAATTGCTTCTAAATTAATACACCCGAATTGTAATGCTCTAGTAGACAACTTCAAAGTAATCGTATCCCCCATTGTATGTTCTTGTAGTCAAGCAAATATGTGGCTGATGGATCCACGGTCTGGATGAGGCCTAACCTACTCTTTACAAGCTGGTTTTAGACTCATGTACTACATGACGGTAGTCAGTATTTTAAATGCAGCCGATATCAAATTATTGAGTCAGTTATCTTGAGGTTCCACACATCGCGTCATTGACATCGGGTTTGTAGCTTCAGGTAGCTTGAGTGGGACAGCCCCCGATATTTATAAGATTCAGATGGTATCTCCATTTTGAACACTAGACTTCTCATGCCGTACTCATGTTTTGTGTAATTATCATCATGGGGACTTTTACCAACAATTCGTCCTATCAGAGTGACTTGGAATCATAAACTTGTGTGACACCCACTGAAATTCAGTGTCTTAAGGGATTAAAGTATTTCTTACCTAACCTTTCACTTTTTGGTCGTCTTTGGCTATTAACCAAACATAAAAAATCCAGCAGGATGATGTAATTTGATAATATATTTCGTAATCTGGTATATTTCGATTGTAACTCAGAGGAGCATAACAGAAATAAAGGAAAGATGTGTTACTTCTTATTCTTATTAATCCATAACATGGCTGTTGATAGCGATTCAGTCAATTATTTTTGCTCTACCTTTAAGGTTTGATACTACTCAGGAGCTAATGAGGCTGGAAGTCAATGGGACATGGTCCAAATGCACGGGAAACACCGAAAAATTTAACGGTTATAGATTCACAGTACTAAAATCTTAAATAAACATCTCTAAAGTAGAACTAAGGTTTACGGGATTTCCAGATCACTAACACGTTTTCGATATGCATCATCTTAGAATTCTCACGAGTAGCAGATTCAAATGGCGTATGATTTCAAACTAGCTTCATCAGACATTGTATTGAAAGAATAACCTTTTGATAGCAATTGTATGATGACTTGGGACTGTTTTTACAGACCAAAAAGTTCTATTATAGTCTACTTGCTAAGTGAGAAAATTCCAAAATGAGGTTGGGGAAAACTGAGTCACCTAGAATGAAAGCAATATAGAGCTGCTGTTTGATATAAATTAAATTTGTTTGTAACAAAGTACGATTTTAATGCACATGCAGAACAGTTTATTTATCCCGTTGATCTACGATTGGTTTGGTTTATATAAATAATCGTCACACCGTCGGCCTTACCTGAGTTTTCGGGCTATAATAATCATTAATTTAAGTTTACTTCATTAAACATTTTCTGATTTTTGGTGTTGTGGAGTGAAGAAATTTGCTCAAGTAATGTCGGATTATCATGTATCAGTTAGTTAAAAGAATCAGTACGTTCGGAAAAGTCAGATCTGACCAGTTTTTATTTAACTTATTTTAAGGGTAGTCAGAACAACAAGATTAATCCTTAAATGGCTTATTGTTTAGCGAATTAACTCCTGTAACTTTATCCAGAAAACCAGTTGGAGTGAATAATATTGGAATAATTAGTGGTCATCCTACTTTTTTCTAGGCAAATTGAACAAATGTTAAAAACATTTTCAATGTTGCAAATATGCCTTTCGAAGTTCTAGGCACTTGTGACGGACAAGTTCAGTGTCACAGAAGTCATCAGCCTTCAATGATACCATGATCAGGTTACTTTAGCTGGTATGAATAAATGTTTAAAGCTTATGAGCCATGGTCAAGTATATGACTATACAAGTTACTTCTGAATAACATTTCTACTAGGCATACAGAGCTTAGAAAAATGCCACAATATTTTGTTTTTCTGCATACACTAGAGATAGTATGGACCTAACTGTAAGAGTATATTTCAGTAAATTTCGTTATGTGTCCACATACACTTGGTAGTCAGAAAAAAAATTGGCTAGTAAGGCAATGTTGATTTTTTTTTTAAAAAACATTCATTTCAGAATATACTTATTCACCTTAGTAACTTGACTTTTGGGGTTACTAGCTCATCATGTGTATACAATATATCAGTTAAAAGTCAGAAATCGTTACTAAAGTGAATGTAGTGTACCATGTGAAGCATTCCTACTGCGTAGTCAACAGTTATGTCAACTTTTTATATATGAATCGGACGTTTTGGGTCTCGGTCGTCGTAGATTTGTTCAGTGAACATTAAATTTTACCGCGAGTAGAGTAGATTTAACTTACAGAACTAATATCTGAATGTTAGTGAAAGGTATTTGCCAAATCATGAATCGTGATACTGCAGTTCTAAAAAAATAACTCACAGAATTTTTTGATTGAGGTCATGAACCGATTGATGTTAGATCACCATTGAAAACCTGGAAGCACTGGACGGCCGTTTCGTCCTACTGTGGGACTCCTCGGCAGTGCGCATCCACGACTCCGCTCGCGGGATTCGAACCCGGGGCCTCCAGTCTCGCGCACGAACGCTTAACCTACTAAACTACTGAGCCGGCATCCAATTTTGCATAAGACGCGACCGTACTTACGGATTGTCCTGAATCGCATTTTGCGATTTGAAATATTCAACTGTTTCACCACCAAAATTGGATCTAGTTCTCGTCCGAGTAAAATTTTATGTCTAATTAGCAATTTCAATATGTTTTTTTTTATCTAACTGGTGAATAAGATTTGCATTCCACCCAGTGTAGTCTATTGTACACAGACTGGTAAAATTATAGATTTTCTGCAATTAAGACCAGTACATTTCAGTTTTAGAAAAAATTAATATTCAAAAAATACATCACTTGGAGAATTAATGCATTCATAATGGAAAACTAACTCTCATAGATGAAAAAAAATTCACTAGTCTCAATGTAATGCCTGAAGGTGGAAAAATGGCATCTATCACAGTCCTAATAACCAGAAGATTAGAAAATTTGAGATCGATGGATTACTAGTTCATATACAGTAATAAAAAATTAAGTCTTAACAAGCATTTATTCTAATGTACAAATCAATATTATTGTGTTCGTCTCACTTCATAAACATACACATACTATATTCATTGTGTATAGCATCTCAATTCACTGTCAGAACATTCATTTCTTTCTAGCATCATGTATTTTTCTGTAAACATCTAGTTATTCAGTGCATTTTTCTATATTATTCAAATTTATAATATTAGTTTTTGACAATAATTACAAATTAACATCAATATTCATACCCATTTTTATTAACTAAATTCTGAACTATACATTTTATAGGTATCATTACCAAGGTTTGATTTGATAATTTCAAATAAATTGAGCATTGGGTAGATTGTTATAAATAAATAGTATATTTGTAATATCTCAATGAGTAGAAAAATTAGATTTTCTGATGTTTCGTGGCTTAATGTAAGTCACTTCTTCAGAGAATAAATAACCAAATTAAAATTAATTCAAGTTTAAATAGTACAACGGACTTACACTAAGCCATGGAAACGTCAGAAAATCCAATTTTTCTACTCATTGAGATATTACAAATATACTATTTATTTATACATTTTATGCATAAATTGACGATAATGTCCATTTGTTTAAACTTTGGAAGATTCAGTAATATTTAAGGCCTATAACAATTAATGATGTTCATGTATCTAAGCACAATATATTGTAATTCCACTTGTCTTTCAATAAACTATTCATATTTACTTTTGAATTACTAAAAAAAAACAATATCATGTAAGATTACGGATGAAGGAAAAATAATCAAGTAATGAATTAATCATTAGAAATAACAATCGGGAAATGAAAGATTTTTGATGACTATCAAAATATCAAGAATTTAAAAGTTTCGTAATATGTAAAGTAATTTTTTCTATGTTAGAAGTAATATGGTCCCTTCTAGTTTGAAACGATAACCATGTAACGAAGTGATTCAAATTACTTCTAACCTAAATTATTTCATTTCAAATGAAATATATACGAAAATAATTTAAACAAAAAGACATATAAGAGATTTTTATATATGTACGTGTACATGTATTATATCTGATTGTATATGTTTACATAATCCACATTTACTCTTTTTTCTTTTGTTTTCTTCCTTAAATATTCTGTCGATTTTTCATCGACAACATGTATTCTTTTTAATATTTGCATCATTCTTTAAATTTTGAAGAGTTTGAAGTTCATAAACTTCTTTTTCTTTAAGTTTCCTTAATAAATAAAGAAATAAATATGAACTATATTTTGAAATTTTCTATTTCAGCAGTTTAAAAATCCCCATAGAATATTCAAAAATGAAGAATATTTGAGCGAACAATTGTTTTCAATAACTTCATCATCAGGCTCTACAGTTATAAGTCCATAATTATAATATAATAATAGTGAACATCATATCAAAATAGAGGAAACTTTCTCTGTTTCATATCAAGTTCCAAAATATCTACCTCAAGGAGCTAGATTACAACTACTTTACATAGCCGAAGCCATCTGGATCAACTCCAGAAGACCAAATTTATGTATCTAGAAAAAATATATCCAGCCTCTTTGTTTACCTTGGCTTACGACTGGATCACCGAATACCTAGACTGAATATTATAAACCTCATACCCTCTTCCTTTATTTCTATCTGTTTATTCTTTTTCCTTGTTATCATTATTTTTGATTATCTCTATCTTAGTCTTCACATCCATCATTGCCAATTCGTTTATCGTAATTACCTTGATAGCACCCTCCTTATTTCATATTATATTCACACAACAATCTTATTATTATTATCATCTCAATTTTCACAAATTGAAATCGTGAGTCAGTTGAAGCTAGACCACCATTGAAAACCTGGAAGCACTGGACGGCCGTTTCGTCCTAGTATGGGACTCCTCAGCAGTGCGCATCTACGGTCCCGCACCCCGCGGGATTCGAACCCAGAACCTACTGGCTTCGCGCGCGGGCATTTAACCATTAGACTGAACACTTTACTCCAAATCATCCTGACCTTTATTGAATTACCTTTCTAAATTGCAAATAATATAACTTTGGAGTAATATATATCGTAACAGATGTAAACGTGCACCATTTTTAACACATAACATCGTCTAATTCATTAATAAATGCCTTATTTTAGCCTTTGTAAAATATGATAATTATGGAAATATAACTGTAGAGCCTGATGATGAAGTTATTGAAAACAATTGTTCGCTCAAATATTCTTCATTTTTGAATTTTCTATTCTTTATTTTAATCACTTATCTAATTATAGATGAAAGATTTATTAGATTACTAATCTGAATACATGTATGTTCAATTGTTCAATTATCTTTTTAATTCAAGTAACGTATAAATGTAATTGGTTAAACAGTTTGTTTATTTCAAATAAAAAAACTGATTGAACTTTACCATTTCTTTAACATTTCTTGTACCTGGATGATTTATTATTTAATTCCTTTGATAATGTAATTGTATACTTTGGTGAATAGATGGAGAAATCAATATTTTTTTGTTTGTTTTTGGAATTCCTCATAGATTTGATAGAATATTAAGATGGTTCGAATTCTGATTTTATGAAGTAGAACTACTGGTCAGATGTATGTATGTGATCGCATATAAGCATATCAAAGCCACTAATGAATCACTAAGTATTTATGTAACTTGATCCGACGAATAGTTATCTGTCAGTCAATAAACAGATAGCTACTGACTTTGAAAAAAATGTTTATACTGCACTGGTATGACTGTTTGTCAAGATTGAGAGTTTATTTTTGATATGGCAGAAATGACGATTTATTTAAGATTAAATGGGGTAGATCATACAGTAAACCGCATAGTTTCTACTCGCCTCAAGAAGTTGAGATCAAGTGATGATAATCATGTGTGGGGACTTTATGTTGTCGAAAATTTCCATTGATCTCAACTTTATAAAGCTGACCATACTTTAGGAAAAATATTAATTGACCAATCACTAATTCTCAGTATCCGTTGAAGTTGTCTAAAGTCATCTAATAAATTTGATGGTAATCATTTTACTTATTCAAATAAAATGAATGATGCATCTAAACTTTTACACCCTGCCTCAATAAATTGTGCTCAGTTCAAATGCAAGATCTTTATGGATCAAACATTAATCCCTCCATTGATTTACAACTGATCCACTGTGGGAGGTGTCAGGAACAAGAAAAAATCTGATTCAGTTGTTTGATTATATTTGTTAGTTGAATCGGTTTTTTCTGCGGTCATAACAAATAACCAAATCGGTACCAATATTTTACCAAAATACGACGGAAGATAGTGGTTATCAAATGGTCAGTAATTAGCTTGTAACAATTATTAAAACTTAAAACGTTTCAATTTCAACAAGTTAGATACTGATTTATTTAAACGATGTCATTAAAATTTTCTCAGGACTATAACTCATGGATAAATCGATCTAACATAGTGACTGTTGGTTTAATTTACCTAAATAGCTAAATAACATTTTGACTTCATAGCTGATGTCAATTCGTGATGAAAACTTAACTTCATTCCTAACCATAGCTACTAACTGGGATCCATAATCTTTATTCCTCACAGTAATTAATAGCCCTGTTTTGACCTTAGTAAGTAGATAAGGTTTTTTGAGACCACTTTAGTATCGCTCAAACGTTGTCTATAAGTCATAGTCTTTCCGAAGAATGTTTTAAGCTTCCATTTGAGTGCAAAAAGGGTTTGGATGAATTGAAACAGTTTTTTCTTTCTGCTTCATCATAACATCTGACTCGATAGGAAGAGATGTCTTATGAAACGAATTCTTTTACAATATACTGGGAATTATATGTTCACACATAATAAACGAGTAATATTAAATAGTTTTACCTTGCCATAACCATAAACGCCTCTTCTATATTGTGCCCAGTTTTTGCACTGACTTCAAAGCACATTGTTTTATATACCTGTAGATTTAATAATTAAAATTTATTTCTGATACAATTAAGGGGAAGCATACAAATCTGAGTTGAAGATGATCTTCAGTTAAGATACAAATTATTTTAGGATTCGAACTTGACCAGGATGAAATATCCATATTTAAAGAAAATACTGTAGCCAAGTAAACCAGTTGACAAATGAAGAACAATTTATTTTCGTGCAATGTTCGAGAAATCACTCCAAATATTGGAGTTAGTTTTATGGTATGAATATTTCCATCTTTTTCAGTGTTCAATAAACGTTCAGTTTTTAGCATTTTTGAGCTGTTTTCTGACTTTATTAACCCTAACTTTTAGAATCTACTTTAAATCTAAGTTCGAAAGAAGTAATTTGTTAAGTAAAATTGTTTCGGAATTATACCGCACAGATGAATTATGCATATCAACCTTGGTGAAAAAGGTGAAGACAACTAGATTATTTTTTAAATTCTAAATAAGTAAAGATCGTTATTCATGCACAGACTGTCTTAGAAAGTCGGAGGTTTTCATTTTCCTCAAAAATATAAAAAATACTCAACGCAGGGGAGAGGTTTCAGCAAAATTTTATAAACTTGAAGCATGACACGATCAAATTTACAAGATCACAACATGACATTATAGTTTGGTGTAAGGCCTTGTGGAGGTCGGTACAAAACCTAATACTAATGCGAAACTTGGATTGTCATTTTTAATATTGAATATATCGGCTGTATTATATGTATTCATGCATAGTTTGCAGAGGGCTTGTTATTGTTGTATGGGTCTGTCCACTTAGCATATTCGCTGACTTCTTTTACTATTCATAAGGCCGTTTGAAGGCTCGTGTGACCGCATGACCAACCGCTTAAGCTTCTTCTATTCATTGGGCTTATGGTTTTTTTGCTCATGTGAATACACGAAATATGATTTTCTAGCAGCATTTCTCATCTGACTTCTAAATACCACCGTTGTAAAAAGGCGATTAGCCAAAGTATGAAAAATGAAATTATATATATTTCATCCTTATTAATTAGTCATGATTCAGGTTACAAAGTTGTTGAGCACTTGGACTACAAAAGTAGCGAGCCCAAACTCAATGCAGCTTGCCTATAATAAGTCATCCACAGTAAAGTGACCATAAGTATACTGTTAAAATTATCATGTCAGTAGTATTGTGACCACCAGCGTAGATCGTTAAAATCGCTGAAGCACTAGTTGCAAATATTCTTTAGTTTTTCTGCCACTAAGACGTCTGAATGCTCACTAAAAAATTCCCTGTGACCACAAATTATCTATTGTAATAAGCACAAAAATACACCTCACTAAAGAATCCAATCAGTTACTTTGGTTAAAATACAAATTAGTAGCACTTACTGTTCTAAGTCACCATATATATATGCTGAGTACTTTTACCAGTGCAAATTCCATGAATCAATACACATAGAGTTTTCGCGAAATTATTGTCCTTATAATATGAAATACTAAATGTTTATGTGATATATAAAGAATTCTCGGTAATCTGGCAAACATCTTAATTCTAATCACTGCTACACAAAGAACTTACGCGAACAATTTTATCAATTGTAGCTCGCGATACTGCACGTTTATTATCATTTTCTTCAATGAGATCAGATTTATTTTCAAGAATTAAGATAACGGTATTCTCGTCTGTTTCTTCGGTAACCGATTGAAGCCATGAACGGACGGCTAAAAAACTTGATTCATTAGTTGCATCGAACACAATAATTACACCATCTGATTTACGATAATATTGTCGTGTAATACTTCTGAATCTGCAAGTTTGTCAAAGTAAGATATGTTTTTACTTCAAAATGTTATACTACTTAGAAGTAGTTAAAAAATTTCAAATAATTTCTAGAACACACAAATATGATCTCTTAACAAAGCACCCTAAGCAGCCATCTTGTAGTTAATTTCCACCAATCACTCAATGGTGAATTTACTTTTGAAGAAAATTACTTGACCATATTCGAAATACAAACATAGGCTGTGACTATAGGCTTTCAGAACCAGGCATGTGAATGTGGAAATGTCAACAGCTGTATTCAACAACGTTTGCTTTTAAAGTGGTTTCAAGATCCTCTTGGTATCATTCATATAATCTTGTTGGATCCTGCAAAAAGGCATAAGATGATCTGTATTCTTTGAGCTAAGAATACATGTACAAAACCATTTATCTACTGTCTTTTGGCTTTTACTCATTGTTTATTATTACTTGTACTAAGTACACTTAAAAACTAATCATTTTGGATGATTCCTCTACTAGTTTATTTTCTGATTTTTTTGAGGCACATTATTTTTAAATATTTACTCATAAAGCTAATTGATGTTCATGCAAGTCTTGATCTAAAGTTTGTAAACAATTAGTATTTTAATAGTTTTCAATAATGGCAATAGATTTCTAAATTTGTTTGAACTTTTATTCCACAGATGTTCTCATGTAACTCGATTATTCAGTTTTAATTCTCGAATGGATCCTACAATAATGATAATGATCATTAGTTTTGTCTAATTCATATCCATTTAAACCTATTGATAAGTCGAATACGCTTCCCTATGATATTATGTGATCAGTGAACCTATAGAATAATGCAGAACGATTTTGAGATTTTGACGCAGTTTATCCAAACAGAAAATAGAGAAACTAAATAAATAATTATCTGTAGAATATGAAAGAATTATTGAAAGTATACTAATTTTACATGAATAAGATCGTTTTTAAAGGTGTTTATAGGCGCTCTAACGTAACATCCTAAACCCAACTTTCACACCCTTCATAGATTACAATGAAATATCAATGCATCTCGTACTTCTGAATATAAATTAAATATCTTTCCGTATACACATTCATATTTTAGTGTTTTTTTGACATTCCAACGTTCAGTGGACATTTTATTATGACATTTTCTATACTAAAATTCTTCATGAAGAGATCAATCGTAAACTCTCATTGCCTTTATTGCTAAATAAACGATGCGTTTGACTGACGCTGATTACCATATTGTTGATTGTTTGTTCTTGATTGGTTTTGCAATATTCTTTAGTTTAGCCCAAATTAATTTTAAATTTAAGTAGAAAAAATCTAGTGATTTTTCCCACTAATAATGTACTTTAATGTAGGTTAGAAATTTTTATAAACACTTTACTTATATCACTTGAGAAAGTATTTTATATCTTTTGTATATAACATATTATTCTTCCTTATTTCTGTCTAATCAAAATTTAAAGGGATTCCATTTATTGTAAATAAGGTTTTGTAATAAACTTGAACATTCATTACTATGTGTAAATACAGTTATAAAATGGTCGAACTATTGGAGTTCATGTTTACTTTAAAAAGAAAGAGTGAATTCTATGACTTAGTAAAGATATGAGGATTATGAAGAATTTCACGATCATGTAAACCTGTCTAGTAAACGAATGTTATCGGAGAAGGGAACCATATTCATAATAATTTCTACTTTTAAAATAAAACTATAGTCGACTTTTATTTTGGATCAATTCATTCAACTTCTGTAGTAAAAGCTTGATGGTGAGATTCTGGTTCCATTCCAATGATCGTCTATGAGATTTATTATTTTCTCCATCGTTTAATAAGTTTGTAGGCTGAAATTAGTCTCAGGATGCTTCAAAATAAGATGAATAATTACTGTACTACAAATAGCTTTAGTGATAGAAATCACTTTCAAACAAAATATATGGTATAAAAGTTTATTTTTTGTAATCTTCGAAACCATAAGAGCTAATCTAATATTAAATATTAAGATTCAGGAAAACTACAGTAAATTAAGAAAACCATGTTTACATAATTTATCTGAGCTTACATTTAAGTGTTTCATATAATTCATTTGTTTAAAAGGATTTATGTAAGAATATCTACTCCTGTAGTAATTCTAAGTATAATTTTCTCAAAATGCTAGAGTTGAAACATTATTAACAAATAAGGTTTGACATTAATTGGAAAATAAAATTTAGAATTACAGCTTTGATCTATTACCTGCTAATTATCAAATTTATTTTATTATTTTATTCAAACACATTAACATTGGTAGAAAGAGGCACCAAATAGATATGTGCCACATAAATCGAATGATTTATGTGTGGGTTGGGATACTGCCCGGGTGCTCGAACCGAAGCAGCTGGTTTTCTTAGGGGGCCACACTCGGAGCCTTTGACCCAAAGGTCTGGTCCACAAGGCAGTAGAGCAACGTCAGCAGATGCAGTCCCATGGTAGCCCATGTGGACCGTTGATTTAGAATCAGGGTTTTCCAACCCCCTTAGGTGGACTCTCCATTTCCACCAATCCGGACATTTGCTTTTCGTCCTCTCAATTTCGTAAACTACACTCTCGCCGTGAGAAGGCGATGAGTAAGACTTCCATAGCAGTGGTTGAATGCACGTGGCCATATGAGAGCATTTCGAGAGGGAGAGCTGACTCTCCCCATTCTCTGCCGTATCAAGGCATTTGGAGGCCCTACTAGTTAAGTATGAATGATCCTAATGAAAATAAAATTTATCAGTCATCAGTTTAAACGCCAATAAATACATAAATAAATAAACACCCTATAACAAATTTAATGCATGAACTTTCGTTCACAACAGTAAGACAGAGTTAAGTGAGAACGCAATTATATCTGAAAAGCGACAGTTGTAAATATAGGTCACTATTTAGTGGTTGAGTAATGCGATGTTTTGTGTTAAATGTGACTGTACTGGATTCTATCCCGTATAGCGTTTTGAATGTAAACTGGTGAAGAGTTCTTAGTCAATATGAGATATTTTACCACTAATTTCGAATAATTTTCAAAATAGTTCATTAGCTGAGATCACTTTATGATTAAAATTACTTCATTGATTATAGACAATCTCCAAAAAAAGAATAGCTGTGTATAATTTCACTTTTCTAGAGAATTTAATTGTCTTAGTAAATGAAACCGTATCACTCCTGAGGTTGGAACTGATAATTTCAAATAAATTTAGCGTCGATTGAATCGATTGTATGAAAAGGGTAATTTATTTGTAGTGTCACAGCTGGTAGAATGTTGAACTTTTGATGTTACACAGTTTAATGTAAGTCACAGAAAAAAGGACTTACGTTATTCACCAAAAATGTTTAAATTTCACTTTTCAACTCGTTCGCATATTACATGTATATGATTATTTTCGTCATAATAGTTGTAATTTTATAATTCACATGTATATTAACAAATTAACAAATTTAGTGAACTGTGTAGTAGTCATAACAACTCTATATGTACATAGACAGTCAAAACGACAGGTGGTTGAATGTTAATCCTGAACTGTAAATAACTTTTATTTATGGATCTATATGAAACTGTGCAAACTAAGTAATTGATTTGTGCAAAAAATCTCTTAACAATACTTATCATAGAATCGATTGTACTTACGCTGATGAACGTATTGGTTGTGATCATCAGCGAAATTTCAGATAATCTTTTCTTCTAAACTTGAATTGACATATCTGTTTTCTAAAGATGTTCAGTTTTCCTACTGGTACTCGACAACAGAACATTATCCACTAGATTAATGAGTTAAAACAACTGTTTTTTTCATTGAGCATTACGGAATAGGTACCGATAAATGTTTGCCTTTATACTAGAGGAATTACTGTGGCATTAATATATCAAAGTAGATTGATCACATAACTCCTGTAGAATTCAACTGAGGAAGCCTTCAAGCTCTAATGAAGGAAAATGAACTCCTGTTTGACGTTTGAACTGTTTATACTCAATGTCTGAAGCTGCCGACTGTTCGAATTATATTAAAATTTATGTATTTCATCCACTGATCGTAAAAATTATATTTTCAAGACTGGACGCTGATTAGCATGATATTACACTATGTACTCTAAATAAACAATAATGTTTATTATTATCATGTGATGGTGTCGTCTTTCATTGTTTTTACAACTAAATAGTTATTAAATGTCACTAAAAACATAATAGACTTCTGAATAAAATATGCTTATCGATCCCAATCAATTGGAATTAAATTTCCTGCGTAATCTGTACTAATCACATGAATAAGTCACGAAATTAGTTGATCAAGTTATCTAAAGGTGAGTTATTATGTTTGGCTAGCAAATAAATAATAGTAATTTTAAAACTACAATCATAAAATATTTACGCATCAAATAAGTAATCAAGAGCACTGTTAAATGTTGGGTGAACCAATAATTAAAAATGGAACGAATGACTGTACCAGCAAGAATAATTAAGAATCTATCTAAGATTATTGCTAGTCCCAAGCCCGGATGATGGGTTGGGGATGGGGTTAGCAATCTTATCTCATAGAAAACAACCTTGCTTAAAATAAGTCAATCAGAGAGTCCGCAAACGAATGAATTATTCAAGATAAGTAAAGTAGAAACAAGCACTGATCACAAAGTAACTGAAAGGGGTGGAGAATAAAAATATACGATTAGAAGTGGGAGAAGGAATCAAATTGAAATATAAGTCGGCAGGATAACAAGCTGCAACAGGTGTTTGAGATTCAGTACAATAAACAAACTTTGGAAATTCGTAGTTACAAAACTGGCTACTTCCTATTTTTAAGTAGCATAGGGTACTACTAAAATTCAACCAACGAAGGAATGGAATTATTAGCATTAGGCCTATAAAACACCACTTTTTATTTAGTGAATGCATCTTGATGGAAATTTTATGATTAGAAAAATTGACTAAATATTTTATGAAATCAATTTGGGATAGCAACTGATTTGTGCTGTGTACAAATTGGTACTCTATAACTAAATGTAATCCATGGTGGATACTATCGAAATATGCTATAACAAATTGGCTTCAGCGATGTAGTGGTGTGTATTCTTTAAATTTTTCTAAATGTCAAATATCTTATTAGTATGAAACTAAATTTTATTCTTCATTTTGTTATCGCACGGTTGTTTTACTACTCACCATTTCTTTTATTAATTTCACTTTAATCTATATTGTTCTATTGATTTCATCTTGTTTTAGTAATGCTGTCAAGCATTTATATTATATTGTATGTTGTTGCTCTTCAAAGTAACAAACCATTTCAAACTTTTTGAACATCAAAATCAAGGTCTTTCAGATATACCTACCAATTGAATTCATCCAACTAACAATAGGGAAATTTGTGTTGACCCTAAATCCACAAACGAACAGACAGACTAAATATTGTGGAACTAAGAATTACGGTGAGTTAGTTGAGGTTAGACTGAGTTTAAGAATTCAGCATACATATTAAACTGTTACAATATTTAAGTAGTGAACATCTCAATAACATTTTTGTTTTTTGCTCAGATGACATCTTTTTATGGTATGAAACTATGCTACAAGTATATCTTTTTATCCCGAATTCGGAGGTTCTAAACTAGGTTGATTAGTCTGTTGATCATTCAGTTAGATGTCTGAGAATAAAGCTTACCGGTGCATTAATAGTTATTACACAAATACTTTAAACTATTGGATATGTACATTAATAAAGCAATCTGAAAGTCTTCTCTGAAATTTATTTTACAGGAGCTATATTGCTAGGATTAAAATTTTATATCCTTTAAACAATTATCATCAGGATAGAGACAGAAATTCAATTTGAAAATCTATTTGATTAATTGAAAGATTTGTTTAGAGTGAATGAAGAAAATAAGGACTGGTTAAAATCAACGCTAGTTGATATCGAGAACCAATATCTCATTTCGCCCACATTGACATTACAATTTTTATCTAAAGAACACCTGACAGCATCAAGAAACCTTGAGCGAAATGTTGATGTAGTGATATTTCAGTCAGATAAAGGTTCAGATTTTGTCCTTCTGAACATTCAAGATGCAAGGTAGATAAAAGTAACAAGAACTAGACTGTTTCATTTCAAGCTGTTTCATTTAATTGTATTTTATCGATGGCTAATTCATCCTACTGAAAAGCTACCCACTGGTTAGCTGAGCAATAAAAGCCATTTCATCACCTGCTAGCTATATGCCTATTAAAAGGTTCATTTGAACTTGTGGAGAGTATGAATGACGTAAACACTTCTGGTAAGTAGATGGTTTATTTTGATGAAAAATCCCGTCAGTTACTAAAACTTACTCGTCTAAACACTATTTCACGGAACATTTATGGTACACTAGAAGTGAAACTGATAAATGTTTAAAATGTCTAAAAAACAGATATCCCTAGCAATTTATTGAGAAATATGGAAAAATTTAAGATAAAAAACCGAAAGGAACTATGGTAGACAGAAAACGTTACAGGGAATATCGATGGAAGACTAAAAGTTCTATTAACCAGAACATGAACTGCAGTTAGACTGATTTTCTTGTACAAAAACACCCCTTCATCAACTCAATCAAAGATCGACGGACACTTCTTTAATGTCATCGCCAGTCGCATTTAAGAAATTATATGTATCTACCGGAGCGATTACATTTGGGGAGCAGATACAAGGGTCTGAGTTCTGAGATCAAACAGATCAAAGGCTTTCAAGAGTAAGATTTTAAGACATCTTGACATAGGACGTTGAGTTGGTACGCTGAAATCTTTCAGGGTTATTAATAATATTAGTATTCCTATATTTTCTAAGGCCGTAAGTATCAAACGTCTGAAAATGAACTTGTGTAATCAGGAAGAAACAGTGATAAACCCTTATATACCGTCGTAAAATTACATTCATTTTATTACATCACCATTCATTTAAACCCTTTCCCATAGTGTTATATCCTGACGAGAATTATGAATGGTAACTTTTGAAAACTATGTATGGATCAATACGATACATATATCTCCATTGTATAATTGTTAAATAGCTAAACTATACACATTCATGTTTCTCTTATTATAAGCTTTATTTTGACTCATAGACTATTATTTTACGATTTACCATTCTTGAATTATGCTCAGTATATTAATTACAATCTCCCACATTCACAGCCACATGTACAAGTGTTGTTTTCTATTTTGTGATGCGATGTAGTTTGTTTGGTTTGTGTATAAACCCAGTATGTTTGAAATACATGATTCATATCTCAGAGGCTGAGATTGGTATTCCGGACTTAACAGGTAGGGCTAGGCAGGAAGCAAGACGGGTAAAGACTCTAGATGGGTTTTATACGTCATTGATCCGGTCGATAAATCACTTTTCTCTAGTTGGCGGCATCATTACGTTATTATTAGAACCCAAGGCCTCAAGTTATAACACATAGTTCTATTTTATCACTTTTGTTTTCTGTTGAATTTATAATTTTATTTCCAACTGACCTAATTCAATTCATGTTAATTTTTTACTACCATTAATCTATGTTCAGTTAATTAGATACTAAAATTTTTGTTTTATTAAGATTAGATGGTGGTTGGAGGTAGTCAACAGGAAACCCTTGACCCGGGTTTCGTGCTACTTGGCACTCGTCAGCAAGGTGTACCTATAATCTCGAGGGAACTGGTGCTCCCTGGCGGACTCGATCCAGTGTCACCCAGCTTCACAGTCAGAGACGTTACCACTGAGCTTTCCGGGCCGTGACCGACCTCCTGTAGGACTGAGATGTAATCACAATTGATTGATCACTGGGTGGTGATCAATGTCATGCTTGTCTAGTCCTTATTAGTGCAGATCGAATGCTATCGATCATGTTGCAATGTGGCCACCAGTCTAGGTGACTCAACACTGCGGGCACTATGTATTGAGATTTAGATGGTGGTTGGAGGTAGTCAACAGGAAACCCTGGACCCGGGTTTCGTGCTACTTGGCACTCGTCAGCAAGGTGTACCTATAATCTCGAGGGAACTGGTGCTCCCTGGCGGACTCGATCCAGTGTCACCCAGCTTCACAGTCAGAGACGTTACCACTGAGCTTTCCGGGCCGTGACCGACCTCCTGTAGGACTGAGATGTAATCACAATTGATTGATCACTGGGTGGTGATCAATGTCATGCTTGTCTAGTCCTTATTAGTGCAGATCGAATGCTATCGATCATGTTGCAATGTGGCCGCCAGTCTAGGTTTTATTATAATTTGATTACGAGTTTTGATAATTTGGAATATTCTCTTTCACATTGTACTTCTCTCAAATAATTTTCATGGTTCTATTAATTCTATTGACATATTCGCTTCATCACGCTGTAGATATTAATTTGTAGTTGACTCCATTCTCATAAATATATCAACTTCTACAGTAATTTTGATTTTAAAATATTATAGACTGTTAGTAGCTAATAAGTTTCTAACATAATAAAATGAATGAATGAATGTTATTCTACTCAAATCTTTACATTTTCTTGCTTCAAAGTAAAGGAAACTATATGTATGAAACAAAATAATCAGTACTATTACACATAGTTTTGATATACTAATTGAAGCTATATACATTTCATTATCCGTATATCAAGTGTTTAACATAAGCAAAAAATAAGTGACCTTGTGTATTCGTCTATTTTAAGTAGTATATGAGTCACTGGTTGATTGGTCCATAATATTTAAGTGTAAAAATGATTGGTTGTATTCATTCTAGTGATTCATATATTTACATTTATTAACTATTAAATAAAAGTAAAGAATGAAATAAAGCTTAGACAAAAGAAAAGAGAAAGAAGATAAACTGATATGAGCTAGCAAATGGAAAAGAGAAACATAGTTAAATACACTTATAGATGTACATATTTATGCATTTATATGAACTTACTTCTCTTGTCCAGCTGTATCCCATAATTGTAGATACAAATTAGTCCCATCGCAATGCATAAATTTCACATGAAAATCAATTGCCACAGTTAATGGAAGATTTAAATCAAATACACCAGATACAAATTTTCTTATAATACTTGATTTTCCAACACCTGAATCACCAACAAATATAACTTTGTAGACACGTTCAGCAAATGATCCATTCTTTTTAAATATATAGGTAAAGAATATGAATAAAATCAAAAGTGGATAACAATATATCAATAACTGAAGAGAATTATTAATACACACTTAATATTAGTCAGAAAACTATTGAAATAAAAAAAGACAAAAAGTAACTAATTTTTTTTTTAAATTTTATTCATTTATGTTGTTGTATCCAAATAACATGTCTTCAATTCAACCCAGGTATCTCTACTTATCGGAAAGCTGTGGTTTGTTTTAATAGAGGTAGCAACGAAAGAGAAGGGATACGTTTGGTAATGTTATCGGGAGGAATTTTTCAAGTATGTTAATCTTTCTAATGTTTATCATCAGTTGATATCTGTATCAATGACCCTATATAAAACCAAATCCAGTATCCTCAGGTTTCCCGATGAAGATGATATCAGTGAATCGATTATCTAATAACACGGTAGGATTGTGTAACCACCATAATTATTTATTTCCAATAAAATGTACATATTTTTCTAATAAGATCAAGTTTGTCTGCAACCTTGTAGAACCCTGAAACTCCAACAAGTAGACGTATATTTCTTTTTGAACGAACAAAGATTTAGAAAACAAAACGAGTAACAAATCTTCATTTATAATGAATATTACCTCTAACAGGGTTTAATACCGAGCTATATATGTAAGCCTAATGATTAGCATCTATACTTTGCTCTTTAAAGATTATTCATTAGTTTGTATGTCAAGTAACAGAAAGGCTACTCACAGTGGTCGAGTCAGCATTTGAACTCATGTAGGAGGCTCCATCAGGTGAAACTCTTCTTCCACTACATGTATAAATGAATTAAAAACAACAGTTACTAATAAAATATTTTCAGTTTGATAGTTATGATAGTTATTTATAATATACAACAATGCTTTCATTACAAATTGAAATCAGTTGACACAGTTATCAAAAATCGAAAAGTACTAAACAGCAGATTAGTTCTCGTTAAGAATTATTCAGCAATACGAAACCGATATTTTCCATATTGTCGAATCTGATAGATGATATCCAGTTATTGAATAAGGGTTCAGTATATTTTAGGTTAAACTTTAGTCAATTCAGTATATAGTATCAATATCATTCTATATCATTACTAGTCATTCAGTTCATACAACTCTATTGATTCATCAGATTATACCTTCTCATTTTGAATTTGGTGTCAAATAGAATGATGAATTATTATTAGATTATAATTTACTATGACATTTCTAGTGATTAGTTAAATATCTGGTTAAAGAAATAGATATACATTGTATTTATAAAAGCATTTATAGGAGTTTGACTTATTCAATGCGTTTATACGCATGATATTAAATTTTAAACAAACTTTTAAATTGTAAAGAATAGTTGTTCATTAAGTGAATTAGATATTATAAATGTAACTTATAAAAATGGACTTTTAAGTTATTTTTCAAGACAGTTTTAATAAAACTTTTTTTGAAATTTGTCAACAAATTTAAAGTCATAATCGTTCTGATTGTGCTTTCGTCAAGAAAGGTTACTCTATTGGTATATTTGGGTGCTTAGTACCCTTTCACTGTGCTTTTTCACTGAATACTTTGTTAACTGGGACTTGTAGATGCCACTGAACATATTTGGATTCATATTTATTACCAACGTATTGTAACCAAAGCATATCCTAAAATAGTGATGGCAAGTACCTTTCAGTTAGTTAAATGTCGTTGAATAATTACTAACTTATGATAGTAAATAAAAATATAATATCATTTTCTTCTGCGGAACTCTAATAAAAGTAATAATAATAATAATTGCGATAATGATAATCGATCAACTCACTTTGGCATATAACGTACTTCAGCTGAATCATTAATATGTGCTCGAGATTTCTGTGAAGTTTTTCGAATACGAGGGGTATATATACTGCCAGGATCTGTAATAAGTTACTTATAAGAGATTTTTTAAAAATAAAGTATGATCTACATTGGTTGAAAACTTCTTCGTATTCTTCAGCTTCATCAATATTTCCAAGATCTCCTTCACGTACACTGTCATCATTTAGTCTAAAGTGATGCCAAATTAAAATGTAGAATCTATATTCAAAAATCTATACAGTCAGTTACTTGTTCCTCTTCTCTCTAAGCACTTAGTTTTAATTTGGAATTTAACGATTCACGCTAACTTGCTCCTTTATGTTTTTTGTAAAACCATCTTTCTGTGTTCAAAATCGATTTTGAAATGTCCATCAAATATATTTTCAATGAATTAAACATTTCAGTGTATTAATCAAATATAAACATTAGAGTTATCTTGAAACAATTCAATTTAGTTATAAAAGTAATGAAGTTTTTAGTTTAGATGCTAAACAAATAAGGATTGTTTTATGATAATAGGGTTTCGCAATATTTTTAGAAATTAAAAGCTCTGTCAGTATGGGGAGTTATGGAGATTGTAGTATTTTCAAAGTTGAATTCACGAGTCGATCTAAGCTAGATAACCATTGAAAGCCTGGAAGCATTGAACGGCCGTTTCGTTCTAATAAGGAACTCCTCAGCAGTGGGTTCGAGTTTCGAGTGCGGGATTGTGGGTGCTCACTGCTGGGGAGTCTCATAGTAGAACGAAACGGCTGTCCAGTGCTTTCAGGTTTTCGATGGTTGTCTAGCTTAGATCGACTCGTGAATTCAGTTGTATAAACTATGTATTAACTACCGTATTTACTGAGTAATACTGATAATTTGGATTTGGGATATTATTTAATGTACTCGTTTGATAAACAGACAGTTACCTAAATGATACTTCATAATAAATAGTTACAGAGATACATTTATTTGATTTAATTAAGGACATTCTCAACTGAATTTATTAATAACCAAATTTCAGTTAAGTACCATCCATGATTCATAATGATTTATTGAACTGAACTTATCTAACTCACCACTAATTTGGGCAGTAATATGATTGAAATAAAAATTTAATTCAAAAGTTTATACAATCATCAATGAACGTTGTACTTACATTACTGGTGTGAAATAATTACTCAGTGTAGAACCTCTTCTTGCATCTGCGATCTCAAAATTTGTCGCATCCAAATCAGTTGAACTACATAGTAAATGTGGTAAAGCGGCAGTATCTTTTATTGTTGTCTCTGAAGCTTTTGCACTGGTCATATCAAGTGATTGTGATTTACTGTGCAACTCACGTAAATCAATTGCTTGTGATGTTTCTTTTACTGCGTAAAGCGTTTGAGATTTAAACTCTTGTTCATCAACTAACTTCTGATTAATAGTCCTATATAAAGATCAAAATATTTAGAAGTTAACTAATTTTTCTAAACACTCTATCTAGGATGAAGTGATATTGTTTGAAGAAAAGTAAAGAACAGTTCATTTTCTCACGGTAATTTACTTATTTCAAGTTGTTACAAGAATAAAAGCCATTAATTACATACTTCAGAACTGGATTATTTTCCAAAGAAGAAGAAGATTTGTAACTCGATTTCAGATAAGGATGGAATAAATTTACAGACAAGAACCAGACTTAAGAGACTTTAGGAAAATACGTCTGTGTTAAACCTGCGGGCTTCTTTATTCTATTAAAAAACGGATAGATATGGATTATAAGGGAGTTTCAAACCTATCCAACAAAATAATAATAGGAAATTGATTTCAATTTTTGAAAAGAGCCAGTATGAAACCCTGACTTTAGTTTTCATTCTAGTTAGCATTCCTTAGTAAGGCATATCTGTCATTTTTTGTAAAATGATGCTCCTAGTGGAGTTATAAATTGATGTCGCTAAGTGTTACAATCAGAGGTGTTACCACTAAACCATACGAATCTCAACTAACCTATTTATAAATGTGTTGACGATTGTTTAGCCATTAGTTCATAACTTGATCGATAGGATCAATCGATAGAGAATAGAAAACAAGACACTTGATACTATTAAATGATCAACTAATGTTAGGATATTTTGTCACAACCTAGATCTTTCTTTTGTACTCGTTTTGTTTTGATTTTCTTTAGGTTAAAAGGTAAAATATTAAATATTTCTGTTCTTGATAAATTTGAATTCAGTTTGATTTCAAATAAAAGTAATGAAACTATGGTAACAAAAAAACACACATTTGTTTAAATTTTGTGAAACACCCAGTATAATGTGTAATATTTAGTAATTATTTAACAGATACCCTAAAACGATGGAATAACAGTTTTTTTGATTAAACATACTTCATAATGTTCATGTGTATTAACTAATTTTCATCAGCTGTTATTATATAATAATTAGGTTATGATAATGATTGTAATTTTATTATTTTTTTAAAAATGCTTGTTAAAGAGTAAATTAGTGAATAGAGTAGAATATATTTCTGAATTGTTGCCAAATGAATTTTATACCAAAATGTAAATAAGCAACTGTAACTACTGTTGACATTATAAGTAGATATCCGTTAGGATGAAATTTGAATAATGTCATCAAATTATTCGTTGTTTTTAAGAAAGTAAATGACTGATGGCATGGTCACTGTGATAATTTGAACAGATTAACTTGGATTTGTATAATATCGTGAGTGTTTACTTCTGTATATTTTTATCATCAAATTTCAAACTAGGAAGAAAATTGACTATAAGAGATCAATTAGACAAATGATATTCACTTTATGAATCTTACATCTTTTTGTAACAACAGACAAGGAACTAATCTTCACAATCGATTCATCTGAATAATGAACTCGTCTATATTGATAACTAACATAGAAGTATTTCTTGTGTAATATCATACTGGCTCAATTTTTGTGGAGTGAGACAGTCACAATTGATTATATTGGTGCTATATTACAAGTTAACTAAAGTTTGGAACATGGAACGTAGGATTTTAAATCATGCACTTAAAGGCAAACGCCTTGATGTAAAATTTAGAGACCATGGGTCCGACCTCCAAAGGGGTCATGGGTGCACGCTACTGAGTTCTATACAGATATATAATAGCTGCACAATTTGCTCTGGTTTTCGGTGATTTTTGAGTTGAAGGCTATTAGTCATGATGGTACCTATCAGACTAAACTATTATCCACCTCTTATTTAGTTACAGAAATCACACTTTATCTACTTATCTTTTAAAATGCAATGGTATTGTAATGGCTTCGCTTCGTTAATCGATTACCATTATAATATAAATCTCAACGGTGATTAAAATCAGAATGCAATGAGAAGCAGCGAGTACACTTTATTAGCGGATAGCGCGGATCACAAAGTTATAAGCACATCAAGTGAATTTGAAGCGGAGACGCGAATAAGTATGTGCGAGCAATTACACAGGCAATTTATAGTCGAATTGCGTACGGGCACAGCAAAGCAAAGCAAGGACTTATAATAGGATTTGAGTATATATATATACATGATTAGGAGGATGAATCATCGAGTGATATTTAAGCGATCAACATTTTAGCTAGTGTCTGTCATGTGCTCTTGTGAACATAATGGTGCAAAAAAATATGCGAATCGTTACTGTTCAATATCATTGTCAGTTAAGTAAATTAATGAAAGGGCTTAACCAAAATTAACCATAATCGAAATTGGTTGTAGGATAGTTGCTATAGTATCATAACTTGAATATTATGTCTGAAAAGAGTATGACAAGATACTATAACTGGAATCAACATCCAAACTTATGATGATAAGTTAATGAAATCCCGAAAGTTGAAATCATGAGTTAATTGAAGTGAGACCACCATGGAAAAACTGGAAGCACTGTACGGCCGTTTCGTTCCATTATGAAACTCCTCAGTAGTGCGCGTCCACGATGCCGCCCTCCACGAGGTTCGAACCCAAAACCTACCACTTTCGCGCGTGAGCGCTTAACCATTAGACCACTGAGCCAGCATCCGACGGTTTTAATGTCTAACTTCAACCAACGAGTTATATTTATCTCCTATGTATTTATCTACTCTCGTGTAATCACCAACCTAACAAGCAATATCAATCATAAGCTATTTCATAGTTATTTAATCATATTACCGTATCTTTATTATATTTAAACTACGTTCATTTATTTATTATGGAATGTAATTTATTGTAATTTCAATTCATTCACAGTTGATAACATGGTGTTAAGCAAAAACAATTACACACGCTCACACACACACCCACTACAATTAGCTTTAGATCACTATTAATAACTGATTAATCAGATTTAGAAAAAAAAAGGTTGACTATGAATGGAAAAAATACTTTATGTTATTGCATAGAGTTTACTAAAATACTAATGATAGAAAGTTATCGAAATATTTCACACTGATTAAAATTAGTTGATACTAGGTAATTGATTATATTGATTATTGATTTGATGAAATGTTACTAAATTAGTTACAAAGAATCATGATAAATATTTATCTAATTATGTAATTTATATTATATTATATAATAAACAGTTGGTCATTTAGGAAATGTAATAAATGATGAATGTTTGACCTTTCTTACAACCTTCAGATTTAAAGTATGTTTTTATAAGTTAATTAAATTGAATCATCTTAGTTTTATTTTGGTTAATCTATCAGTCTAATATATAACTAGTATAATAGTTATATAAGAAATATATGAACGTATTAACTATATATATGTATATTTGATAGTGAAAAGGTTTGGATTTTTAGATTATCTGGGCTACCTGTTCCTGCCATCTAGATATTTTAACAAGTTATCTATTTTTTCCTTGTTTTAATATATCATTATGTTTATTAATCGCATAACCTATTCTGCTGCGTTTCTGAAAAGTGTACAACCTTTCGTTGTCAAAGTTACAAAAAACTCAATAAGAGACAATGTGGTTGCTGGGAATATACAACGGAAAGAATGCACATTATTCAGATGTTCATTTAGTGAACTGCTAACATCTAACTGGCGATCACTCAATATTTATCGCCAGGACCGACCAAGAAGAAAGAAACGGAAACTTGTTGAAATACTTTACGCTGAGAATTCTATATTGTACCAAAAATATAATATTGAATAAAGCTGATAATAATAATAATTTTAATAATAATAATAATAATAATTCATTATTATTGATATTATCTTTAAAATGTTCATGGAATGGAAATGAATCAAAAGGTGAATTAGTTAGTATGTTTTGTGTATAAGAGAATTTAGTACCATTTCTAAAGAGTAGTGTTGAGATTAATGAGAATAAAGTACACCTTTACAATTTTTTCCTCATTTCATACAAATTAATGGGTGGCATAATACATTCTAGAGAAAATAATGAATATAAACTAAACGATTTATTGAATACTGATATGATTGTAGTGTGAGCTACTTATATCCACATAAGTAGTATATAACGATATTCAGGAATAGAATGTATTTTAGTAGAAGATTGAGAAAGAAAGAACGGTAACGGAAAGCAATTGGTATGGGAATACAGAAACAATGAAATCTGAGACGATGGATTGATATTTTGTAAATTAAGCATTTATTGTATTGTTCTCAGATATTAGTGCGATGTTCTGTAATTTCGTGCTCAAATACATTTGGTTGTCCCCACTCGTGTTCTTGTTCACTACACTGTAACTAAATGCATTTACAATTATGATCCACATCCCACTCTACGACTATACAATCATACGTGAAAGTATTGTTAATCATAAAAACTTAATTGATGCTGGTACTGAATCGGACATACCGTAACATATCGAGTTGTCTTACTAATGTTTCACGTTCTAATGCTATCCCTTCACTAAGTTCTATGGCTGCTTTTGCTCTACGTCGACGTTCTTCACGTGCTTTCTTCTGTAGTGTATCAATATAATCTTTACATTCATTTAACATTTCTTGTGATTCTTCTAATTTACGTTCTAGATCTTCTTTTTCTTGTAATAGTTTCTCTTTTTCTTGCGCAATGCTCATTCGATTCTTTTGAAGTTCTTCTAATTTGATAGAAGCCTGTAAAGATATCATTTAGCAAAGATAAGAATTACACAAATATACATATTTTTTCTCTAAATCTGATCATTACAAGCAATAATTTAGGTTTATATAAATATAAAGATAGCTTTTATCACTAAATAAAATCGACTGAATAATATTATTGATTTTGCTCCAAGCCCAGCCATAGGTCGAGCTCAGAGCTGTCAGACCCAGAGAAATATATCAAATCTTCAGATTACTTTGTGGAGAATAAATTGAGAATGTTATCTTTGAATTATAATTTAACTCCAGATCGAAATGAACTCAGTGGTCATGGAATCTAACTAAAAGGCAAGAAGTCATCTTAAAACTAGCTTTACTGTCTAGATAGTTAGTACATAAAATTCTGGGTCCTATACAGTTTGTTTTCTTAGTATATATTATCTAATAATTTTCGAGTGAAAGTTGACGTTCTGTATTTATACAACTCATGTTGACTCGTAATGAAATATATTTTCACAAATATGCACATTAGTAGGACTACATATCATAATATATGAAAACTAGTTTACATTCGATTAAATTAATCTTTACCCTAAAGAAGTTTCGTAGTTTAGGAAATGGAGCAACATGTTTATTTTCATTAGAATCTTATTGATCATCAAAGTTATGACTGGTAGCCCGGTGTATTTTTTTATGATCTGCCAACTCTTACAAATAAATAAAAGAAAAATCTAGTACAATAAACGAAGTCAACTGTAAAATGTTCTTTTCTTAAATATTGTTTCCTGGCAATTTGAATTAATGAAATTCAATATTCCTACAATATCTGAGTTGTGTTAGAAGAAGAGTAGTTGTCTAGCTGCTTATATTACAATAGATATGGCAAGTTTTGGACTTAAATTTTTACAACTGAATATATATATATATATTGCATATGGAAAACCTTTATATTTTAGGACCTTGACTGTTTTCAGTTTATAATGATGGAATTTTGTGATTCAATCAGTTGAAATTCGGATATTCAGAATAAGCTTACGCTTCGGTCGACTTCATTTCATGCTCCCTAATGAAGGGAATGTGAGAAAGGACATCTTGCCAATTTTCACGCTATATATAAAACATGAATATTGGTGTCTATGATTTGATTTTTTCGAGAAATCCGCTAAATTGTCTCTTTCGTTTGTTTTGAATCATTCAGGTTATTTGTAGAATCGATTTTTCTCTGAATAGTGAGCATTATCGTATTGATCTAGTCCTGTTTTCTTGCTACCTATCGAGCTATAATGTGGAAAGTACTCTAAGTGACCCGATATTGCGTGAACTATCTTGAGGTAATAGGTAGCTGAAGGTAATTAAATTAAAACTAAGGAACTATGTATAGTGAGGTTTAGCACTCGTCAGCAAGCTGTATCCGTACATGTGACGCTTAATCAAATCTGCCATGGAGCACTAGTTACCTCAAGATTACAGGTATGATCTCCTGAAACCGAGGTCCAGAGTTTCGCATCGATTACATCCAATCACATAATATAGTTTGTTTGTGAGTATTTTTCTTGAAGAAACTTGTGGTCCCATCCAAATTTATGTCCTCAATTGTAAGTTGTATAATCAACACTTCGATACCAAAATGTAAATTGGGTACTGTTCACCATTATAAATGATTCAGTAGTTCTTTTTTAACAGTATTTTTTAAAGACCATTTGGATGCCTAACAAAATTTCGATTACAATTATCATTTAATTGTAATCATATGAGTTAGTTACTTCAATAATATTGCAGTTATAAAGCTTAACAAAACATTCGATATCTCCATTTTTAGAACATTTTAGACTGATTTTAAAAGTTTAGATGGATCATGAATGACGTTTCAATCAAGAATTTATTATCGTGACACAAAAATTTGAGTAACGTGATCATTTTCTATTTTTAAATTCTTTCTTTTTCAAGTGATCGTTGAAAAATGTCGTTAAGAAATCCTTTCATTTTGTATCTTTTGCGGTTGTTTTATTGATCATCTAAACCAAAATACGTACTTTTCAAAAAGAATCAAAGATTTAAATTTATTTTATTTGGGATTGAATTCATGCACCCGAGCATCAAAGTATTCAAATCTCCAGTGACCTCTTGTAAAAGTTGAGGATGCGTTAAAATTTCTCACTACATTGTAACTAATATTTGTGGTGAACTACACACAGTTGCGTAAAATTTATTCATAAAACATGCAACATGATCAGTAATATAATTGAAAGAGCTCGATGAATATTAAAAAGTAGTTTTTCGTCACGAAAGGGGAAGTTATTATGCTTGCATAAAAGAGGTTATATCAATTTATAATGATTAGTGAAATACTTTCTACCAAATATGGGTAACTGAAAACAAACTCATAAGTTTGCATTAGCATTATGAAATGTATGTAATAGGCTCACTGCATGTAACCTATTTTGTTAATTTATTGCTGAACTTAACACATAAATGAAGTAGTTTCGTTCAGTGAATTCAAAAACAGACTGATTTCATCATTCTAAATGTCTTATAATCATTCTGAATCAAAAAATTAAATGCTATGAACAATATTATTCTCTGCTTGAAGACTTTATAAATCAGATAGCAGAGCTTCAGTTGGTAAATTACCAGTCATTTACGTCTGCACTATATCAACTTTATAAATTTGGTAGTCGAAAGATACATTATTATCAAACTAATATGTTAATACTTTGAAGGCTCACATAAAGTTACCTTTTACATGGAACACTAATGAGTGCTCAAGCGGTAATTTTTCTCTTTCGAGTTTGCATTTGTAAGGGAGAAGGTAAGGAATTGTTACAGAACAACTTGTGATTAATCTTGTACAATATAAGTAATGTTCGAAAACTTATGTTGTATGGGAATTTTAGGCAAAAATATAAATATTATTTCTTTTAAATAATCAATAGACAAAGGTTTTACAATCCTTCGTGTGATTTAGGATTAACTAAAACTAGTTGTAAGGTATTCAAATCGAAAATGATCTCCTTCACAGGTGAATGTACTGCAAACTATTGATCATGTGAACACACATTTTAAATACCTTACTTTTTCAAATTGTTGTACAAGGTCATTTAACAATTTTTCTTTTTCCTGTACTTTGTTATTTAATTCTTCTTTCAGTTCTCTTTCCTTTAGTTCTTCCTTTATAAAAACAGGGAGAAAAATTAAAGATCATTTCATGAAAGTATTAAAAACACTTAGAATATAGAATTTACTACAAATATTTAAATACGACTATGTATGTTATCGGTATGTTTGTATATTAATCGGAAATTAAAGGTTCATGTAACATGTAGCACAAAATACACGATGTAATGTTTCTTCACATTACATACAGTAAAACAGTACAATATATAGTTTGATTATATAATTTTAAAGATTATAATCGTTAGGTCAGTATACATTCTGATCAACATACAACTGAATCCTACTGATAAATGTGAATAGACACAAAATCAACAGATTATTACTGATAAATGTTGTGATGGCGAAATCACTGAAACAGATATGAGCAAAACCAGCAGAAATAATGAAGAAAGATTGAAAATATAACTTTGAATTAAAGTATAGTTAAACTGTATACTTTCAGATATCTATTAAAATGTAAAAAACATTCATCCAAAAAATTAGTCGGATAATTTGGATGTGCAGTTACTTTACATTGGTGACAAGTAGTCATATGAAATCTAAATTTTCCTGTCAACTATCTTCATAAAGCGTAACATTGAACTGATATGTTACAAAGTTTATCAAATATATTAAAAACTATTTAGCTTAGCGAATATAGCACCGTCCAAATTCTCATCCTAAACTACAAATGTTCTTCATCCTATGAAAATTAGAAAGCTATCCTCTTGATATCCAATATATATGTATTCTCAATGTGTAATTATTGAATAATTAGTCTATGAATTTCCATAATATCCAATTGTAAGCATTCATCTAACTCACTAAATGTTATTATTTTATTTTATTGTCTAAAAATTACAATAAACTAATCATGACTTTGGTACTGACAAATATTCTTGTCATGTGCATATCGGTGTATTTTAACCTTATATTTTTATGTATATAATAATGTGAGCCTTTAATTTTAAATTATACGAAATAACGCGAGATATTTGATTATGCTTTGTTGGCGCTTTAATTGGTACGATGGACTATTCATTATTATTGAATTATATACAGGGAGAAACAAACTTACATCAAAGTTAACTGTTTACCTTTTGTTTTAATTGTTCTTTTTCTTGATTAACTTGTAGCTCGAGTTCTTCGACTAAATTGTGCAATTCTTCATCTTGTTTCATTATTTTACTATTAAAGAGAGAAACAGAAAAAACAAGAAGAAACCAATCGAATACAGAAATAATAGATAAAGTTGGTTGTGGAGATTGTTGAATGTTGTCATTATACATTACAGATTGACTTTAATTAATGAAGTATTGAAAACCGAAAAGTTATGGACAGCTATTTTATAGTAGTATCGAACATTTATGTAATGTGCATTCACGGTCATATCAGGTCCTGAGTTCCTGATCTCTGGTGATTTTCAATGCTTGTTTAATTTGGGTCACTCTTTAATATGAAATCATAAATGATTGAAAACTTTATATGAAAGTGTATAAAATTTCATTATGATCAATTTAAGGATTGACAATTTTTTTAAAAGGTTTGGATGGATCACTTTATTGTTTGATGTTTAATTATTGTTAAATTATTGTTTGACTTGATATTGAAATGATAATAATTTCATTTAATGTCTTTACAATAATAAACGTTCATGATGAAGTGTATAATTGTAAGATTTGAAATGGACGCACAATGAAGAAAGTATTGATCATTTCAATCACAGTTGAATTTGGAAAGTTAATTTGCACAGTAAATAATCTTAGTGTCTTACATATGAATTCCGGGTTAATTTTTAAACCAGTTATTTTTTGCTAGTTAACTCCCAATTTTTGTCTTTTTTTTTCAACTAAGATCCAACTATACAAGCTTATGATGAAATATGAATAAATAAACCAGTTATAATTAACTCAAACTAATAAACTCTATGTCATCCTATTTAATGAGTAAATGTAGAAAAATCTTGAATCAGGACAGATTTGGAATTAGTGACTTCAAGGTTATTCTGTGATTGTGTTTCACATTTCATTATTGATAAGTCAACTTAAAAAGAAAAAACCTGTTAGTGACATTATTATGTTTCGTAAGAATTCAAGAGAATTCATACGGTATTCTTAACATTAAAATGCAAATTCGTTTATAACTATTAATTCATTTCAAATTGTTTGTTTGAATCTTCTCATTGATGTTTAGGATTGCAATCCAAGTCCCGGAGTGAACATCAACTGTAGGATTCAGATACATCCAGCCGACAAGTCACAAATAGTACGAAACGCGCGTCCTGGTATAGTGGCCTTATATCTAACTCCAGTTATATCATGTTTTTCATTGTTATTAAGGTACGCTTGTCTGAATATCACTTTTGTGGCCCGAGATCTGACTCCAGTTGGATCGTATGAATGTTATTGAAATATACATGTCGTCAATCTTCCTACATAATTATCGACCTAACTCGCATTGATGAATAACGGAATTAAATAAGTCAAATATAAGAATGGATGTTTGAATATGTATATCATGTACACCCGTTGATCGGAACAGATAATCAGAGAATCGCGGCGTATGAAGTGAAGAAGAGTGAGCTAAACGAAATGATGCGCAGTGGAAAAGGCATGTGAACCAACTCATATTACACTTTAGTGGCTCTACATCTGACTCCATATCAGAAGGCTGTGTGTTCATATCACGTCGCGCTCACCACAAAACTTGATTCTACTGATAGCCCCCATCCATCTTTATTTATGACTATTGTTTGCACTGTACTTTATTGTTCATTCTATCTAATAATCTAATATTTTGCAATTATTATTATTACTGTTTAGTACAGTAAATAGATTGTAAAAAAAAGAATGTGATGAATATAACTACTTCCAAAGTTAATTATTTTAAACATTTCAGTTAGTAATTAAAAGTCTATTGAACTAGTAATCAATTCGATGATACTAGAGAATTAATTAATTCAATAAAGTAATTGAAATTGAAAAGAAAGGTACTTAAAATCATTCGTTTAACTGTATTCTTTAATTTCAAGTCAATGTGATGCTTTACAGGCAAATCTTTGTAGAATAATGGATAAAATTTCTTTGTTTAGTCTTATGGATGTTAATATTATAGTTCATTATCTGACTGAATCCTTATCCACCATCTATAAACTTTATTTAAATTAAAGGGTTTTGTTTTGGTATTTTTTATTTTCGATTTTTGAGGAGATCTATCTGAGCTTTACAATTTTGGGTAGTGTAGCTGAAGTTGAATAGTTATCTTGCTTGATGGAACACATTCTATATGACAGGATTCAAAGAATAAAGATTTTTAATGAACGTTTATTTATTTCCAGTTAATTTTAATTGACAAAATTTCAGGTTGTTAGTGTAATGAGTACGAGTAATTCATTTACAAAATAATATTTTTCTTTAAAATTTGAATCAAAACAGCTAATGAGTCGTGTAAAAGTATCAAGATGTGAAATCTTTCTCATAAGGTTAATAAACAACATAATTGTTAAATGGAATAGAATTGATTACTACGACCATAATTGGTCACTGATTAGTTACTGATATCGTGATTGTCTAGTCTTCTGTGAGGAGAAAATTGTGCCAACTAATGAGTTCCCACTAGTTTAAAAACTTTGGTTAATAATTAATACCGATTGGTTCCAACCGCCTAACATTTATGTTAACGTCTAAATTTCTATCACTAAAGTTACAAAACAATGATAACATTATTACTATACTATGATGTCTACGAAAACAAGTATTCTCAGTAAAGTGTAATGTTTTTGAATATGAGAGTAGTCTGCCGTCAGTTAGGATTAGTTTCAGCGGTTAAATACTCTATATCAATAACTGTATGATAAAATATTTGAATGGTTGTCAAATTTGGTAATTGCTTATGAAAATTAATGTACCGATCCACAGAATTCAGATACAAGGTTATAAATAGGGCAGAACTACTATTGCTCGAAAATTCAATTCATTTTATTAAATTGATACACGAAAATAGTAATCATGATTAAGTTATCTAGAGTATATACATATATATACATATGTATATATATATAGGACAAGCTTTTTTGTCGATCACGTTTCTATTAAAGAAATTGTAATCAGTCCCAATTCATACTGGTTACTTAAAATGTTTGACATGTCATAGGTTTTGTCCATAGATAATGCTTATTTAACAAACATTATTTGAGTAATTTGACCTAAAAGATTTGCTCAAATAAACCTAAACATTTCATAGTGAAATTTCATTCACATAGTTCCCTTTATTATTTTAAAGAGAGCAAGAACAAAGATTGGTGCAGGATAATATGAATTAATTTTATTTTGTTAGGTTGTAAGCAGCTGATGAGAACCTAACGAAATAAAATGAATTCATAGTATTCTGCACCAATTTTTGTTATTGCTCTCTTTAAAATTTCATAGTGAACTAGGCCCGCTTTGGCATAGATGATAACGTCATACTATAATTAGATTTGGAATTGTGGACCAAGTGCCCTGGTACGGCCGAGAGTGGGAAGAGCCAGATCTCCCTCTCAAACTCCTCTCACATGGCCACGTGCATACAAACACTGCTATGGAAGTCCTACTCATTGCCTTCTAGCAATGGGGGTGTTGTTTACGAAATTAAGAGGACAAGAAACGAATGTCAGGCTCTTTAACCGAGTTAGTGGGTATGAAGGATCCACTTAGGTGAGTCGGAAAACCCTGATTCCAAACCAATGGTGCATATGAGCTCCAGGACCCTGAAGGAAACAAGTGGCCTTTGAACAAATTGTTGGTCACCGGCTACCATGGGAATGCATCTTCTGACGTTGCTCCACTGTTTTGTTGATCAGACCTTTAGGTCGAAGTCTCGGAGTGTGATCCTCTAAGAAAACCACCAGCTCGGTTTGAGCACCCAGAAAGTATCCCAGCCCACATAGAAATCAAGTGACTTGTGTGGCGCACATGTATTCGGTGCGCTTTGTACCAATATTTATATCAGAAGGGGTTTGTGGAGATTTTTAGAAATTTTCACAGATTGAAATCATGAGTCAGTTGAAGCTAGACCACCATTGAAAACCTGGAAGCACTGGACGGCCGTTTCGTCCTAGTATGGGACTCCTCAGCAGTGCGCATCCATGATCCCGCACCACGCGGGGCTCGAACCCAGGATGCGCACTGCTGAGGAGTCCCATACTAGGACGAAACGGCCGTCCAGTGCTTCCAGGTTTTCAATGGTGGTCTAGCTTCAACTGACTCATGATTTCAATCTGTGACAATATTTATATGTTCAAATAAATCGTATGTGAGATAGTGATCGTATGATGATGAAGAGTCATAAACTAAGACAGACCGATATTCATAACTCTATTATGCTCGTTTATATTTTAATATGTTTAGGATAATAGATTCAATGTAATCAAAATATATGGATTTAAATGTATTCATGATTGCAATTGAGCATTACTGAGCCCCTGTTGATTTTAAAGGTCAGGAAACCAAGATTTTATTTCCTGATATCGATCACTGGTCCAGGTAAACTGTCATCAATGTGCTAATACGACAAAACTTCATATATGAGGACCATTTTGACATAAATATACTGAAAGTTGGTCAATATTTTATGAATTTATTTTTTCAGTTCTTATTCATAGTAACTGGCATTTTTTCTTACAAAAACCTTATTACCTATTAGAACTGCATTTTGTTAGAGGCATTTACATGATACAAAATATCACCAGTCGTTGTGTATTTGTTGATCAGAAAAATCATTTTTATTACTTTTGACCGATCTAATAATTTAAAGAAATGCACACAGATTATCTAAGAAATTTAATTTAGGTTCCAAATAATTTATGTATTAACCATAATTAACTGAATTAAATAGAAGAGTCAGCTGTGAAATATCAATAACTATCTTACTTCCTTACTAGGTGTAAACCAATCAACTGACTTGTAAACACGCTTAAATCTGTTTAATACCAAACTTATTAATGTCAATTTATTAGAATACAAGAGATTAATTTACACGTTATATATAATGTGACTAGTAACATATCTAAAAGCTTTCTTTAAAGAGCATTGGGAATAAGGAGTCAATCCGCACAGGTTACAAATATGCCAGTTCAGATTAATCAATTTCATTTCTTAACATTAACAAAGAGACGGTTTCAAACCAAGTTTTTACACTTTAAGATATTC